ATATATATATATATATTTTACCTATGCTGTTCTGGGTTATTCTTCATGATGACCTACCTTCAAGAAGTGTGTTTCAGATAGAAAAATTAGCTTATTTCTGGTAAAGGACTGTACATTTTTGTTAGGGAACACGACCACATCCTCTTGCTAATCCATTCTTGATTGCTTTTGATTATATATGTATTTATTTTTGGTTGCTTATTTATATTGCATACATTGTCTCCATAATGCCCTACAGGTTAGGGCTTCTTGGCTGCCTGTCCAACCTTGCTGTCCATTACTTTGCTTCTACCAGTAAAGTTCCATCACCTGGACCCTGATATTCCATAATTTTACCACATCTAAAATTACTTCTTATTATTAGTTATGACCAAAGAGAACAGCCACAACTGGGTTTGACAGTGATGTTGATGCCTTTCTCATCAACAAATTTATTTCCTTTTAAAATGGTTTCCTCTGTCATTCTTTATCAGAAAGTCAACTGGTGGCTTGTTGAGTGTTAAGTGTATGCACTTTTACATGATTATTATCTGAGCCTTTTCTTTCCCAACTCTCTGCTTCAAAAGACCTACCATTTATAGTTCACATAGTATAGGCCATAGCTTTCTTGTAGCTGCTGAGACATCCTAATTGATATTATGGCTCCTGTTATGGTTTAGCTTCTGTATTGTATGAGATAACGCTCTATACAAAGAGACTTTCTTGTCTTGTCTGATTTTTTGTATTTCTTAATCCAGCAATCTGTTTCTTTTTACCTGTGCTGCCTAACACTTTATGTTGGGTAGCCCTGTACTATTTTAGTTAATGGTTCCTGCCCCTTACCTAACAGGCCCAGAGATGCCTCAGGTGGGATGCAATCTAATTAGCAATCTGGTGGATAGAAAGTAGGTGTGGGTTGTTCCCACGGGAGCAATGTGTAGTCTTTCAAAAATAGATTACCGCATCATCTGTGAACAAGAGGGATAAGTTAGTCTTTAACAGGGGGGAGTGAGAGATTTCTGCTGGTCCATCAAATTCAGCTATATTTGTTTTCAGCATTCGGAAGTGTATTGGCCCCCTTTCTATGCTGTTTTGGAGTTGTTCATGTCAGCAGTTTAATCTTTTCTGTAGCTCCACTACAGTTATAATTAGGTTTTTGGACTGACCTTAGGTTTTCCTACCATCCAGCAGGAGGTGATTCAGCTCAAAACTTTCTTGTAGAGTCTACTTCCTAGAACCATTTCTGGTATTCATCTTCTTAGGTTGAGTTTACTAGAAACAGATCTGAAATGGAGACTCATGATAGGATACTGGGAAGTATCCTCAGGAGAAAACACCTGTAAGGAATTTGAAAAAGGATAACTGATCAGACACAAAAATTCTACTGTGATAAAATTATAATAGAAGTCTCAGATAATCCTTTGGTGTTGTCTGCAGCTGAGATAGCCTTTCGGAATTACAAAGTGATGAAAGGGTAACAGGTCTTCATACTTTAACTAGTAAATTGCATGCAAAATACCTTGGGGAGGAGTTGTAACCTTGGACAAGGCAGATCTCTTTGACAGACAGACTGCAATACCAGGGGCGAGATATAGCTATGAGATAGCAGCCAATTCTCCAGAAATTCACAAATGAGTGCGTTGGTCTTGGGAGGGGCATCTGATCAGTGAGCTATAGCATCCAGTATAATATATAACTTATATAATATATAACATTTCTCTATTCATTTAAAACAATACTTAGAATATAAATTTCAAGAGAATAGGGACTTTGCCTCATACATTGACATCTCCAGAATTTAGAACAATTTGGCTCAGTACTCAGTAAGTATTAGTTGACTAAATGATTGAACTGAATGAATAATTAAAGCATATTTATGGATGTCACATTTTGTAAACTGACAATTACTTGGCACATCACAGGGAATAGTAACAAATGAAAACACAAATAGAAAAGCATCCCAAAGTACTTCTCTACTTTCACATTTGAGTACAAGTCTTACATGAGTTTTTTTTTTTAATTTTGTGAAATTAAAACTTACTCGAACACATTAAATGAATTGACAAATGGGATGATCAGTGTACTTATTTTAGCCATGACCTCCCACTCTGACATGGAGTCTTAATGAACTGACTCAGCTGTTGCTGGTATAAAAAAATATTAAAAGAGATTGGATCAGCTCTTGTAGCTGGATTGACTCAAAAGGTAAATTTGATTTTGCACCTAGTCTCATTAATACTTACTTTCATCTGCTTCCCAATAGAACTTTTGATTTTAAACATGGGTTTTCAAAATTTTTATATTATAAACATATAAAGTCTTCTAATTTTTCTCTAATTTTCTGTAGAAATTGGCACTCTCTAATATGGTGTGAGGAAAAAAAAAACAAGTCTGAAATTCTGTCTGCTTTTAAAATATTCCCAATTGAAAAATGTCACAAAAACTCAACATGAGTAAAACATTTATTTTTCTTAGTTTTAACAATCACCATGTATATGAGTTCAGGTTTACAATTGAAAACAAACTACCATACTTATTATGATGAGAAAATAACAGGCATGACCCCCACAAGTGCAACTACTAAAATCTTTTATTTTAAATACAACATTTTCAAGCTTCTGGAACTTGTGTTAAGAACATGCAGAAAATGAAGAAACATTTCTTTCAGAAAATCTACTAATGCCAGGAAGGAATGACAAGACTTTGGTATTTGATCAGTAACCTGTTTGCAGAGTTATACCCATGGGACAAACTGACTGAAATTCCACTCACGTGACAGAACCCCAAACTGGGACTTCTTTGCTAAACTCATACACCAATTCTGAATTGTGGAGGCTTAATTCTTTGTGAGCATAGCTGAGAGGTGGGGTACTCTTCATCCACCCTGTCCCAAATTATCAGGACAAAGGTCTATCCAGGCATGGTAGGGTAAGAAAATGAGAATCTGATTACTTTCTTTCAAATTATATTAGTTTTAATTATGTTAGTACATGTTTGCAGTACATGATGATGATATTCATCATGGGGGGTCGGTACAAGTACACCACACATCCCCTCATCACCCCACTTTCCTCTATCTCTTGGTTCACTTCCTATCTGCAAAACTTTTGACCCAACTCATTACTAGGGAGGATGTTCCATGGGAGGAGAGGCAAACTCAAAATACCAGGGACTACTGCACCTGCTCAGCACCCAGTCCCTCCACCCTGCCCCACAGGGGATAGGCAATCCACAAGAACACAGAGCTCAAAAAACACATTATATACATTAAAATCTATCCCCAAACACATCAAGGTAGGGAGAAGCTTGGAGCAAGGGTGATGGTAGGGGAAGATTAAAGTTTGTTATGCTCATGTGCAAATCTGCCAAAATGAAACCCATTAATCTGTGTAACCAAAATGCACTAATAAAAATGTTGGGAAAAAGAATGAATCTATATATTATATGTAAAATTTAAAAAGATACTTCAAAAATAAAGCCCCATCAGATGTGAAACAAGACTAAACAAAAATATAGAGCTGTAAAGCTCTCTCCAAAGGAACTGATTTTCTTTGAAATAGAATATGGTAATATTCTAGTTTGAATATTTAATATTGAAATAGAATATGGTAATAGAAATTGAAGCCTAAGAGTGCTCTTCAAAACAATGGAGACTTTACTGTTGCTAGCAGTAACAGGAGGTTGGTACATATATAACTAACAATATAAACCACAAGTCAGCCAGTTTACTGGAGACAACTGGCAAAAAGTACTTAAGAAAAGCTGTCCTGGGGCTGGAACCTGCCCTCCTAAAGTATCCCTAAAAAGAAACCCAAATTCATTTAGAACAATCTATGCTTGAAACAATAGATCAATCAACTAACAAACAAGTAGAAAAATCAACCAGAAATTAAAAAGCCCATATTAGGCAGAGCGCTTCACAGGGAAATTAGGGAAAGAGAATGTCAGAGTTCTGCTAAAGCTACTGTCATTTCAGGTTCACGGTGTGTATACTCAAAGTTTGTCTGGTGGAGAGCAACAGCAGAGGGTGCTGTGGTTTGGTATGCTTTGAATATGTCCTGCAATGCCTCTGTGTTGGAAGTTTGGTCTTCAGTGTGGCAGTGTTGGGAGGTGGTAAAAACTTTAAGGACTGAGGCCTATTATGAGGTGATTGGGTCAAGGGGACATGTCCCTTGGAAGAAATCAACATAGTTCTCATGGGGTGAGTTTTCTCCAGAGAAGGTGAATTGTTATGAATAAGCAACATTGGCCCCTCCTGCTCTATCACTGCAGGTCTTGCCATGTGATGTCTCCCACTTGCACATGCTCCCACCATGAGGCCATCTATTATGATGTGATGTAGCCAAGGACATGAGAGTCCAAATTGATGGGATCACCCAGTCCTGGACTTTCAGACTCCAAAAAGTGTGAGCTAAATGAACCTCTTTTTAAATAAATTACTCAGACCCAAGTATTTGAGGGAAATAGATTTCAGTAAAATGGTCTGTCAAGTCATTAAAAAATAAACAAGCAAACAACAACAACAATGAAAGAAAGTTCCAGAGGAGGAAAAAGGGAACCAGTATTCAGATTTTCCACAATATGTGCAGAAATGTCCAGTTTTCAACTGAAGAATATGAAACAACCCCCAAAATAGAAAAGTGTGACCCATAAAAAAGGAGAGAGAACAGGCCACAGAAACTGCTTTTGACCTGAGAAAATAATATGAATCCATATGAAAAAACAAAAGAACACTGATAAAGGTCATTATGTAATTATAAAAAGACAGTATAATACATATTTCTTCCCCTTCTTTTAACAGACTTAAATATAATTATATTAAAGATACCTAATTGTATTTCTGGAGCTACAAAAGCATAAAAAATGCGATATTTATCAATAACAACATTAAGAATATGGTAAGAATAAAACTATAGGGAGTAATGAAAAAACACCTGATGGAAACTTAAACGAATAAGAACAAGAGACCAGAAATGATAAGTAATAAGGTTAATATAACAAATTCTGTTGTATTATATATTTACTTTTTCTTTTTCAAGCTTCTTAGATAGAAGATTATGTAAAATAAAACTTATAACAATGTAATATGGGGTTGTAATAATACACATATGCCAGTAGCACAAAAATGAAGACAGAATAGATCTACATCTCATTGAAATTAAAATAATATAAACCTGAACTAAATTCTGATAAAGTGTGAAGTTTATGATAAGTCAAAAGTCCTAGGAAAACCACTAAGAAAATAACTTAAAAAGTGAAAAAATGTGACTATAAATACAGAGATTGTAGTGATTAAAGATAAAGGGCTAAAGAAAGCTAAGGATTGCCAGGACCCACAGAGGATAGAAAGAAGCAGGGAAGGATTCTTCCCGGAGAGTTCATGGGGGCAGGTCCTGCCAAACATCTTAGTTTTGGATTTCTAGCCCCTAAACTATGAGGATCAATTTCTATTGTTTTAAGCTACCCAGTTCATGATAATTTGTTATGGCTGTCCCAGGAAACTAATACAGACTTCTAGTTATGTTGTTTTATTTTTCAATTAATTGTACTGGCACATTTTAAACATAAAATACTGTTACTTTAATCATTGGAATCTGTTAGGTAAAAGAGCCAAAAAACCACGACCAGACCAGAACTACAACAGCCTTTATTATGAGGAGGATCTGCTGGGCTGTCTCCTAACAAAGGAAAAGCAGCATGCAGGGACAGTGAGCTTCTTTTATATGAGTGGGGTGGGATTAACCTGAGCTGGAGTGGAGTTGAATGAGGTAACATCAAGACCTTGGAGGAGCTTGTGACATCACTCAGAGGAAGCAGTATCTGGTTACTCTTTTGGCATGAAAGAGGCACGATGAGGAGAAGGCTGTCCCTTGGTAGGAGAAGCCATATTTAATGTGGAGGCTGCTATTCCGTGTGGCAGCCATCATAAGGTGTAGAGCATTATGGGAAGGAGGCTAAAATTTTCTGTAGCAGTCATTTTGAGGCAAGGGAAATATAACAGGATCTTGTTCCTTTACATGACTTTTATCTTGGTTCTTATGTTCCCGGTGCCCCAGCCCTCCCTTCACCCCCTCCACACTTCTGTGTTTACAAAGACATTGTTTCCATATTTTTCCTTTTCTCATATTTTTTTTCTTTCCCCTTTTTAACCTTTCCCCAACCTTCCCATTTCCTCTATTATTTTCAACCTTTTTTTCCCCTATTGTTGCAGAAGGAATTGGTAAATGACACACAGACACACAAGGAGAGTGTAAAATAAAAGTTTACTTTGCTCACAGAGGATTAATCCATACCAAAAGCTGTGCCAAAGGACCAAAGACATACTGGGTTACAGTTT